GTGGCGTGTGCCGCAATGTGTGGAAGAAATCTCTGGGCCGTGTTGAGTCACCTGCCTCTTATTTTATTTTATTTTATTTTTTTACCTTTTAGGACAATTGAAGTCACCCACGAGGCTCATATGTCACTCCTCTGGCAAACGACCCTCAGCTCACCTTGGGGATGCGTGCTGGGTGGCAGGGGTGATGGCAGCCTCCTTGACAGGGCGCGGTGCCTCGTTCACCTGGACAGAAGCCCCCAGGGGTGTTCCTGTTGGACAGGGAGGACGTAGAGGCCCAGAGAGGCGGGTGGCCTGCCTGTGGCACACCGTCCCAGGTGGCAGCAGGTCCCCTCGTCCCCCTTGGTCATATGCCCACGGCCATGGCGTTAACAGGCGGCCACTTCAGAGCTGCGTGGCTGGGGGGACACGGCTGTCGCCAGGCAAGCAGTGGGGTCGGTAGTGACGACCAGTTGCTGTCCAGGTGTCAGACCGCGGTCACCCTCGAGGGTCGCAGCGTGACACCCTGAAGCTCCTGCTCAGGTACCCCAGGTGTGTGACGCCCTGGTCATCGGGCACCGTTGCTCCAAAGTCTCTGAGGCCATGGTTCCTGGGAGGAAGCGGCTGGTCCCCAGGCCAGAGATGCCACCAGGCTGGCCTGGGTGCCGTCCCTTGTCACAGTCCTCCTGGTTTCCGGGCACTTTGCCCCCGGAGTTGACTTTGGTTTGGGACACGGGACAGCGAACAGCGACCACCTTACAGGGTTTCACGCAGGGTGTGGCAGGGTGGCTGGCTTGTCACCAGGGCTAGGCAAACAGCAGGGTCATCAGGGGGTCGGAAACACCAACCCGCGAGCTACTGGGTCCAGGCTCCGGTCGCGGCCCCTGGGCCCATTTCTGCCGGCTGTGTGACCTTGGGCAGGTTGCTTGGCCTCTCTGTGCCCGGTCTGTGTGATTGTTAGACCTCCTGTGGGGGTCCCCGCGAGGACCCGTCCCTTCGACACCCTGGACATGCCCACAGCCAGCACTCACATCCCCTTGTCCTCAGGGGGAGGGGGTCACAGTCCCGAGCACCATGGCCTTGGCCATCAGCTGACCTTGGCCAGCGGCTGACCAACGTCACGAAGAAAAAAGCTGGTGGAGCCCCGCGGCGTGAGGAGCCGCCGTGTCCTGTCTTCTCTGCTTCCCGAGCCCAGCGGAATGTCCCTTGTCCTTGTCACCTCCTTGTCCACGTGACCGCTGGCCGTGGACAGCATCCTGGTGAGGGTGGTCCCGTGGCGGGCGAGAGGCCCAGTGTCCCTCTTCTTCAGCTTTTGCCACCCCCGCGGCCTCTGGCTTCGGCCCCTCTCAGGGTGGTCACTCCGTGTCGCCGGCTGTGGCCGGCCAGGGGACTCGAGCTGGGCCTCCCGGGGCAGCGTCCCTGTCCCTCCGCCTGTAACTGGAGCCGCGGCCCGGAGGCCGATCGCACAGGTATCGGCTGACGGCCACTGTCCCACTTCCCTCCCTGGGAGGGGCAGGTGACAATGGCCACCGGTCCCCAGGGAGAGGCCACGGTGCTATCGGGCCACACGATCTCAGCCTCGGAGGCCAGCCCGCCCCGGGGACACGGGCACAAACGGGGCCTTCACTGGGTGCCAGCGCCCGGGACCCGCCGTGCCAGCTGCGTGTCCCCCCATGTGACCCGCGGCTCACACACCTGTCCCCCGCCCGGCTTCGCCCGTGAAAGCCCTTTGTTCCTTTGGCCGCGGGAGAGACGGGTCCTGGCACCGTGAGGGGCGCTCGCCCGCCGCCGCCCGGGGGCCACCTGCCTGGGGACCCTGCGGCTGACCCCCTCTCCGTGGGGACCGGTTCTGGGCTGCGAGTGGGGCCAGGTGGTGGCCCCGGGGACCAGGAGCTGCGGCTGCCCAGGCCAGGCTGCCCCGTCCCCCGCGCCACCACCAGCTCCTTTGTTCTAGAACCTTCTGGGCAGCGCCCGGGGGAGGCCGGGGTTTGGGCCCAGCGCTGGCCCTGCCCCCCTGGTGGCCCGGGCAGCCCCTCCCCCCTCCAGCACAGAATGGGGACCACGCTCTGTCCCTCCCAGGGGGACCCTGAGATGGTATTGGCCAGGGGGTGGCCGGCCACACAACTGGGCAGATGGTGACCGTGGCCACGTGACCGTCCCTCGGCCATCAGGGGCTTCATTCGGTCTCAGTTTTATGGGTCTCGCTGAGTGGCTGAGGCTGGCCTCCACCTTGCGATCCTCCTGCCTCAGCCTCCAGAGCCGCTGGGAGGCCAGGCGTGGGCCCGGTGCCCGGCTGACAATGTGACTGTCCTTTGAAAGCCACTCCGCCGCTGGCTGAGGGTGCGGTGCCCAGAGCCAGGTCATCTGGGCTGCAGGATTCCTCAGATTCCTGTAGGACGGTGGGTTCCCAGGGGATGGGGTGGGGGTGGGCATCCCCACAGAGAGCCCTGCCTGGACCCTGGGCACTGTCACCACTGTGTCCCACACTGACCATGGATGCTCAGCCCCCAGACCACGTGGCCCGAGGAGGAGCAGGGCCGGGCCCGGACACCGGCCCCTGCGCCTTGGCTGCCCCCGCCCCTCAGCTGTCCAAACACGGGGACCCCCCCAGGAGCGACCCTGGGAAAGGCTGGGGCAGCTCAGGAAGCCCCTGTCCCTCAGCCTCCGTCCCCCCGGGGTCTACTTTGCTCTGCAGCCGCTGCCCGCGGTGTGGGGTGACCTGGCCGGGACCCAGCTGCTTCCCCCGAGGGTCCCGGAGCAGCAGCCTCCTCTCCTGCCAGGTCCACGTCCCCCCCCCACCCCCCAGCAGCAGGGACATGCTGTTTGTCACTCTGTCCTCGACGGCCCGGGAGGCCGAGGCTCGGGGGGACACACGTACAGGCAGGTTCTCCCTTATGCAGAGTCCCCTGTCCCTGAGCCCTGGAGCGGTCACCTGCAAGTCCAGGTCTCCGGCCTCTGCCTCCCTCTGCCTCCCCTCACCCCTGTCACCTGCCTCAATCAGCACCTGCCTCTGAGTATCTGGGGACACTCGGTGGCCCTGATCACAGCCTTCCCTGGGGACGGTGGGGACCGGCCACCGCTGAGCTGATTGTTTGGCTCCCGGAGGCTCCGGACCCCCAGCCAGGGGTCGGGAGGGACAGGGCAGCCTGGGCTGGCTCAGAACGGCCATCCTCCTGCCTCAGGGTCCCTGGGGGGCCTCCAGCAGATCCTGGCCGGGCTCAGCCCCGTGACTCCTGAGCAGCCCCTAGGCCTCGGGGGAGAAATTTGACGGACCCCGCAAGCGCCAGGTGGAGCAGAGTTAAAATGGCCCTGGGTGTGGCTTCAGGAAGGGCTGGATCCAGCACACAGGGTCCGTCCCGGCCTCCCATCCAGCGTCTACGCTGCTGCCAGGAGCCTGGCTTCTCCTGCCTTCCCTGCGCCTCAGAACCACTCAGCAAAACAAGGACAACCTGATGACCAGCCTTGACAAAGGGGCAGGAAGGAGGGTCCGGCTTGGGCAGGGTGGAGTGGCTCAGGTCACCGCATGCTGGGGCTCCAGGGACTCGGAGGGAGGGGACCGTCTTGGAGGGAGGGAGGATGGGGATGAGTATGGCAGCGAGACTCAGCTGGGAAGCTCCAGTGGTGTCCCCAAGGGAGCAGGGACATCCAGAATGCTGGTGGTCAGCAGGTGCCAGGCCGCGAGGACCTCTGGCCACAGCCAGGAGCTGACCGATTTCTGTTTTGATGGGAGACAGTGCTGCCCTGTCCCCCATGATGTCGCACCTCGGGCTCCAGAGCAACGGGCCTCACCTGCCTGGCCAGAAGCCTCTGAGCCCTGAGCAGAGGAACCTTTGTTTCTTTTAAGCCCACGGCCTCAGGTATTGTGTTATAGTCACTGGAGAGCCGACCACACGAGCTTTCCCTGCCTTGGTGTCTGAATGTGACCTCCCGTGGGGGGTGGCACTGGGTCTCCTAAATGCACGTCCCCACCCAACACACACACATTCGTGAACACAGGGAACCTGCCATGGATCAGGTGACAGAGACTGCAGGGGACAGTGGAGATCCAGCTGTGGTCCCCCGGGCTGCCCTGAGCCTTCTGCATGGATGTGACCCTGTCCTTGGGGTGGCCCATGTGCCTTGGGCTCAGCCATGACTGGGGTGTGTCTGTCCCCCTCTGTAGGTGTCCACCGTCTGCTGGCCGTAAGGGCCCTGTGGGCCTGGGCCGGGGGTCTGTGTCAGGCCGGGGCCGCCACCCCAGGGCTGAGCTAGGGGTGGTGGCCAGGACTCTTCTGGTCTCCACAGCATTCCCCCGGGGCCAGAAGCGTTGTCCTGACGTCCAGTGGCCGTCTGTCAATGGAGCCCATGGGCCTGTGACCACGTCGAGGGGGCACGTCATGGACACGCCTGCCCTTGTCCCTGGCTCCTGCAGGCACACGCTGCAGCTGAAGCCCAGGCAGGTGGCCTGGGGACTCTGGGAACAGCCCCGGGGTCTCTGTTCTTTCTTATTCAACGATGCTGACCCCACTGTGTGCCAGACACAGGGGGACCCAGCAGCCACCAGCAGCCACCAAGACAGAGTCCTGTCCCCACAAAGCTCAGGCTTCCACCAGAGTCCCAAGGCATCTGTGGACTGTGACCAGGAATGAACGGGCCATGGAGGGGGACAGCACCCCACCACAGGAGGGGCGTGTCCATGTCCATGAGGGGGCGTGTCCGTGCGAGAAGGGCGTGTTCATGTGTGTGTGGGGGCGTGTCCATGTGCGTGGGGGCGTGTCCATATGCGTTGGGCGTGTCCATGTGCGTGGGGGCGTGTCCATATGTGTGGGAGGGGGCGTGCCCATGTGCGTGAGAGGGGCATGCGCAAGGGGGGTGTGCGCGTGTGCGCGTGCGCAGAGCCCAGGGCAGGGTGGGCCCCTTGCAGGACCGACCTGGAGGAGCAGCTGCGTGTGGGACGTCCCGTGCGGCCCCCACCCCTGGTCCCAATGACAGCACCCTCCCACGCAGGGCGCCCACGGTGGCCGCAGAATACAGTCCCCACCAGATGGAAGGATTCTTTTTAATTAAATAAATTAATATCATTTTTTTTTATCAGAATAAATCGTTAAATATCGCTATGCGGAGCCCGAAGGTCCAGAGTCCTGCCGAAACACGACGTCGCTGCCACGAGGGACCCGGGGGCCGGGGGTGGAGCGGCGACAGGTGGGGGGGGGCAGAGCCATCCAGGGCCGGGCTGGCCTCCGCGGGATCCACAGGGAGCAGAAAAGCCCAAAGGGGGTCCCCTTGAAGCTCTCCCACTGGGAGATCCCGGTGCAGTGGCAGTCCAGTCCCCCCTGCAATCTCATTTGCAGCCGGTCCCCCCTGAGATCTGGCTGGCAGCCAGTCCCCCCTGCGGTCCCACTGGCACCTGGTCTCCCCCTGCAGTCTCATTGGCAGCGGGTCCCCCTGCGGTCCCACTGACAGCGGGTCTCCGTGCAGTCCCACTGGCAGCCGGTCCCCGCTGCGGTCCCGCTGGCTGCCGGTCCCCCCGGAGATCTGGCTGGCAGCCGGTCACTTGCAGGTGTACATCTCGGTGCGCTCGCTGCAGGTGTTGCAGCGCACGAAGCAGCACCAGTGGAACTTGCAGTTGCACTGCCACACGCGCGCGTACTGGTGCGTGTTGTAGCCGCGGCCGCAGCACATGAGGTCGCAGCCGCTGGCCTGCGGCGCCGTCTTGTTGCAGGCGCGGCCCTGCGTGCCCACGCTGCCCGTCACCGGGTCCTCCTCGCAGTAGTTGGGCGACTTCTCGATGTAGACCAGGTCGGTGTCCATGGGCTTGCGGTAGGACAGGGGCTTCTTGATCTTGAGGAAGGTGGGCCTCTTGTTGCGGCTGGCGCGCACGGGCTCCACGTGCACCGCCTCGTTGTACTTGTCCTTGAGCACGTAGCCCAGCTCCCGGAAGCGCGGCAGCGTGGTCCAGCAGGTCTTGGTGGTGCACGAGCCGGACACGCCGTGGCACTTGCACTCCAGACGCATGTTCTCCTCCAGGATCTGCGGGCGACAGGCACAGGTCACTGGGCGCCCACCAGCCCCGCCCCCCCGGGGTCCCTCCACCCAGGTGCCACCCTGTGGGATCCCTCTTTGGCCCAGTGACCAGCCCCAGCCCAGAGCTCGCCCAGATGTCCCCTCTGGGCCCAGGGATTTGAGCCCCTCGGGAGGCTGAGGCAGGAGGATCCCAAGTTGGAAGCCAGCCTCAGCAATGGAGTGAGGCTCTGAGCAGCTCAGTGAGGCCCTGTCTCTAAATAAATGCAAAATAAGGTTGGGGACGGGACTCAGGGGTTGAGGGACCCAAAGGTGCTACCCGCACTGCGTGGGCCATGGGGGAGGAGACAGTGAACCCCACTAGCCAACCCCGGGGACAGGAATGAGTCTCGGAGATGCAGGGGGGACAGAAGTCCTCCACTAGAGTCAGGACCTGGCTTCTTGCCACCAGGCTCAAGGGTGGGTGGGACTGGACCCTGTCCCTTAGGAGCCTGTTGGGGGGGTCTGATGAGGACCCCTGATGTGGGGGGAATGGCCAGGGCCACCAGGGTCCGCTGGGCAGTGGAGATCAGTTCCTGGATGTCCCTGGGGACACGAGGCCTCCTATATTTGAGATGGCTCTGAAGTGACCACGGACATCCTTCGTAGAGTTTTGCACACACACCGGCTGTCCCCATAGTAGGACGCACCGTGGGTCTGACGGCCAAGAAGCAGGTGACAAGATGCCAACGTCCTTAGTCGGCAATAACATCCAGATCCAGGTCACAGGGAGACCCCCCACCTCCCACTTGCTGGGGTGGCCGGGATGAGGACACGCGGTGGGTGACGATGTGCAGAAATGGGGACCCTCCGGCCCTACTGTGGGGACGTAAAATGTCACTTGAGGGACGCCTGGAAACACGGACCCCAAGACCCGGTGCCTGCAGACGCCAAGGGACTCGGAGACACGTCCACGTGGAAACCTGTGCCACAGACGCCCGCAGCACCCACCAAGGGGACATGGGCACCCAAGGCTCCCAGCTGACGGACGGGCACGTGGGGTGTGGCAGAGCCCTGTGTGGGTGCCTGTCCCTGTCACCCAGGGAGGGACCTGGGAGCCTTGCTCGGGAAGCTCCAGACCCGGGTAGCAGGTCCGAGGGCTCGTCTGTGTGTCCGGACAGGGTGACAGAGACGAGGGGTGCTGGAGGGGACACAGGGCGCGGCCACAGGTTTCTTCTTGAGGTGACAAGATCCAATACAACTGAGTGTGACGTCACCTCAGTAAGGACAGCTGCTACCAACACGAGAGGCCATAGCTGGGGCAGGCAAGGGTGTGGACAGAGGGGTCCCTAGTGCACCGAGATCACGACGTTCAACTGGAAGAGCTGGTTGAGAGTCGGATGATGGCAGCCGGGAGCCGGGGAGAGGCGGGGCCGGGGAGAGGCGGGGC